CAGGCCCCTCCTCCAACATTGGGGATTATAATTCAACATGAGATTTGGGCAGGGACACAAACCCAAACCTTGTCAACTCTGGTTCTAAGAGTGTAGCTCATCCCAACTCAGACTGTTGGGAACAAAATATGACTCAGAGATCCTTAATTTCCAGTGCAGATTTTTAAGAGGGTTGTCTTTGAATTATTCAACAAAGTGAGTAGGGTAGGGAAGCAAGAAAATTCTTTGTGTACATTAATAATTTGTAATTTGAAGAACACTGTATAGCTATAAACCAAACTTTATACTTCATTTCCTAGATTATAAACATGTGTACATGTATAGGGAATATATATTTTAATTTCACAGGAAAGAATCCTAAGGAACGCTTATTTTTTAAAAAGTACGTATAAACCTTTTAATCTCCGGAAGCTAGAAAAAATTTTATAAAACTTTTCCTATTATGTGAAGTGAAATTCTTCATCTAGTTTGAAAAAGATGAAAGTCCTGACATATTTGATGAATTATATCACTCACAAATCAGTAAGTCAGCAGATGGTGCTAATGAAGATTACAACTGACACTTCCAAACGTATCACTTTCTTAAATTCAGTGAACCATCTGGCAAATAAAAATCTTTGGCTATAAATAGTATTGCAAAAAACACAAACAGGCCAAGGGAAATTCCTAATATGCATAGGGTCAGTACTACTGCATTCATATAAAAAGATATGCTTTCGTATATAATTATCTCTTTCATAAGAAATCAGAAGTACACTACTGCATTGTTTCCTCTTGATAAGAATATGAAATTGTCAAAATAACCAAAACACATTCAATGAAAACCAAACAGAAATTCACAAATAATATTACATGTAAAAATATACTCAAATGCAAAAGTACATTTGACCAAAAAAAGAAAAAAAAAAACTCCTGAATGGTCAAAGGTTTTTTCTCCACCCCCATTCTTTCAGCCTTCCATGTCATGTAATAAAAAGATTTTTCTTTAGTATATTCTTTTTAACTCTAAAGATTCTGATCAGATAAAGAAATAATCAATTCCACAAAATTCATTCACCAAAAATTATTTGAAATTCTAATTCATAGTATAAATAATACTGTTAATAAGATTTATCATAATACAAGGTAATCGTTCCAAAGCAGAATGTCTGTGTTATATTTCTAGTGTAAATAAATAATCTTGTCCATAACTGATGATCTCCTACAACAGTTCTACAGAAATAGTTTTTATATTTATATGTATATATGCATATATGTATATATATATGCACATAGACATAGAAAATTGTGTGTCAAAAATGTACACATTTCTACTTACTTATATACTCATTGAGATATAGTAGCTGTAATTTTTATACTCAACTCAAGAAATCAAGAAAATATTACATTTATTCCATGATTTCCCCTGAACCAAGCACTTAATGTATAGTATTCCCAAACTATTTTTAGTTGTTGTATAGAAATTATGTGGAAAACTAATGAACACACAAAGATGGCAAAGAGGAAGGAACTGAATCATGGTATAATAAGAATTAATAATAAAACACTTTTCTATTTAAAATGCATTTAGTGAAGTTGCCACATTGCCCTTCATTCTAAAACATCTTAATAGACTTTCCAAGTATTTGTCTACCTATCTTGAATCAATTTCATCACTAAGATTAATTGACTCTTATATACTACTACCCAAAAGGTAATGTTAAATGACTACAAGTCCGCCAAGGCACATAAAAATGTGTGTAACAGACACACACACACACACACACACACACACACACACACACAGTCTGCATATCTGAAAGTTTAGTTATATTTTCCAGTTGAACATAAATATGTAGTATAATAAATAACAATATAATCATCTTTTATTAACAGTTTCAAGAAAGAATCACAAGAATGAAACATAACTGATAGCTGGTAGGTATAAAAAATATCTAAAATTAGTTTGTTCTACTGATTTCATAATTGGATGGCATACACTACTAACAGAGCAGCAAGGGTGCAAAGATTGAAATTTAAACCCCTAATTAAGCAGTAGTTTGACAGTTCTAATGTCCTGTACCTGCTTGACACCATGACTCAGTAAGCAATCTCAAATGAAAATTAATACTGCGTACAGTATAATCTTAGTTATAGGTAACAGCTGATCGTGTTTAGAAAATGAAAACCGCAAGTGTTCAAAAATGCTTGTGCTCACGAAAAACAACAAAAACTTCTACACAGTTTTATTCATTCAAGAAACAGGAATTTGTAATAATGAAAAATGGTTTGTGGATTTACTTACAACATCTTGATTACTGTCATTTGATCATAACACAACTGCAACCAACCCGGCTGCCACATCAGCTTCTCTTCAGGGGCTAGGTCTTTAATCATAAATCAACAGAATGACTAATTCAACATTGTTAAAACTAGTGAGTAGATGCTTGGAGCCACTCCAGGTTTAGCATCTTTCAAAAGGTCAACACAGCTACTCAGTAACACAATAGACTTATCTTTAAAAATGCTTCCTTCTTTTCTAGGGTTGAAAAATAACATGTAACCATTTACATTTAAAGTGAACTTCAGTAACTAAAGTGTTCATTACTTCCGAAATCGTGACCTGCTAAAATAACAGTTTTAGTCTTCCTCCTGTGGCCAAAGTCACAAACCTCTCCTCTCCTCTCCTCTTTCCTGATGGTTTAAAATAGTTTTCCAGATCTAAAAGACCCATCAAAATATTTATTACTGTTTCCTGCATCAGTCTTATTTGCTATAGAAACACTACATGTCAACCTTAAAAAAAAAAAAAAACTTTTTCTTTTAATAAAGAAGCAACCAATAATGCAAATGGAGCTTAGATGTAAACATTACCAAAAAACAAGATGCTAATACAATTAAAAGGATTTAGTAGTTAAAATGGATTTTAACTATTTACATCTGCTTTCAGTGTTATAAATGATGAAAACCTAGTGTTCATATCCTTCATAATAAAAATTTATTCTGCACTTTAATACAAAGGCTATGTTGCATAAACAGAGGATTTAAAGCTGTAGCAGAGTGGCTGAATGAAAGGAAAATGGCAATCTTTCTGGCTCCAGTAGATGCCATTCCCTATCACACAATATTTCCCACTCATAAATACATGACAAATACTTCCTCAATCATTTTTTACGAGCAGGGATGCACAGGGGGTAGTCAATGGCTAGCTTGAGGGAAAATAGGAACAGCAGGCGGCAGAAACTGTACAGAAAATGGCTATGTGGTAAATTCTCTTCTGGAACATCACTCAGTTACCCAGTCTTTGATCTTTCAGCTACAATTACACTAACTTCCACAAGATCTGGATCCCTCCCAACCCTCCCCACAAAACATACAGACACCAACCCCAAACCAGATCACTAGCTATACATAAAACTATTAAAATTTGGTTTTCTGAAATAGGATCATTCATACCTCTACATTATTATAAATTAAAATTTGTATTTAGACAAGAGTTTACTTTCAATTGCTATAACCATATCATCATCACAACTGGTCTCACAAAAAACATGGGGTGTCTGGCGACAGCTAAATCACAGACTGGCGTCTCCTAAGCAGTCTGTCTACCATTAGGGTCTGGGAAATGGTATTTACTATACAATTAGAGCCAGGGAGTTCTACCTGTAATCATCCAAATACAGGTGTGAGAAGCCCCTTTGGGCAAGGAAACTGACTCATCCCTTTTCATGTAAACTTTGATGTCTGTATTGTTTCACAAAGCCTCAAGAATCCTTACCATTCATATTACAATGAGAAGATTTATTAACTGAGGTCAAGTAATAAATTTTAAAATTTATTCCTAAAGGTAACAATTTTTAACACATTAATCATCAAAATTATAAGAATTTGAAAGGAGGCAGAACGGATTATTTTAAAGTTAATTACCTGATGTAGGATACTGACCAGCTGAATGAAATCTTTATGTTAAATTTATGATTTTTATAACATTACCAAAAAAAGAGGCTAAATTCAGCTTCCTATCAGGAACACAAAATGTCTTATAGTAATATCAACTGGGCATTTTTAGTTGCAGTAATTTCACAGAATTTATTCTAACGATTTATTGGAGTTAACCATCTGACATTAATTATTGTTTTGGCTTCCAGTCTATGAATGTTTATTTTTCAGTTTAAAGCCTTCTCACTCTTTGATATCATATGGAAATGAGAATTTTTAATGGAAAATTGAAACCATGTGCATCTAAGTACTTAATGAAGTACAGGGAGAAACCGACAATATATTTTAGGAGAATTCAGATATTTTGCTTTGGATAGTTTTGATTTGTTTGTACGACTCAATAGTATAAAATACTTAGAGCCCAGTGAGGCAAGTCAAAGTGAGTACTATGCCAAACGTGGACATGCCCACACGTATGAACACATAACTTTCTGAAGTCATTAGTGACAGTAACAAATCTTGCACATTTTGGTTACATGCCAAAAATGACAATCCATAGATTAATGCATAGTTTTTACCTTGGTGTACTTTTAAAGCATTTGAAACAGGTACTGGCTTTTCCCCACATACAACCTTTTTATTTTTTATTTTTAAAGCATTCAACCTGGATTTTAAAATTCATGCCCAGCTACAACACCAAGAGGTTATTTTAAAGTCACTTATAATGTCAACACAGCTAGAAATTGCTGCTGTAAGAAGTTTTATTGTTGTAACTACATTTATTCTCATTTTGCAATGGAAATAAACAATAATGCCTAATAAACTTACGTTTGATAAGTAAATATATATGATTCAATATTGGTTAATTTAATTCAGTTTTTCTTAAGTTCTCTATAAATCAACTAGAAGACTCACCTGTGAAGGTAAATGCCAAGCAAAGCTTTCTCATCCATTTTAAACTTTTTAATAATAAGGAGAAAAATATTAAAATTAAACATAGCATTAAGTACATATATGCATGTGTGTGTTTGTGTGTGTGCAGAGGTGACACATTTGGGTATATCTGGTGAGGAAAAACTTACCATTTGTTTTTCTTTCGAATGTAGTCTTTTTCAGAAAGATTAACCAAGTAGACCATTGGTTTTGAAGTCAAAAATAAGTGTTTATTCAACACTTCAATCTAAAGTGGGAGATGGAGAAAGTATCCTTTTTAAAAGTTTAGTAAATATGGAGTAAATCACTGAAGAATTTGAAAGTAAACATTCTTTAAAACAGTAAGCATTTTCATTTTTATAATTCTTGTTTCCAAAGGATTAGTAGTTATGAAACATCATGAGTAGGGGAAAAGAAAAAAAATAACAAGCCCAGGAATAAGCAATCACTGACAGAAATAAAAGTTTAGATATAATGGTGAGTGTAAAATAATGACAACTCTAATTTGTTCCCTAGGAAATCAAAGCAAAGGCAGTAATAGATGGCATGATATTTATAACTCACCTCTTTGTCATTCCAATCATGATAGAAGCGAACAGGTTTCTTTTGATCTATAACCCAGGATTTTACTTTGCACATTATATCCTACACATGATTGAGAAAAAAGTAAATATATATGAATAACTAAGCATTTAGATACTAAATATTAAAATAAAGATTTCAAATTTTCAAAATAAAAATAGTTTGTTTTAATGAAAGGGGGGCTAGGCCACACAAACAATTATTTTCAATACCTCATTTAAAAACCAAACACTAACAAAACATTGTGGCATTAAATTTTTAATGTATAAAATGGACAATATTAGCAAAAATTGGAAACAGCCTGAAAAATGTCTTGACAATTCAATTACATCAAACACTAAATACAAGAGGTAATACCATTTCAATATTACCTAGTGATGCCACATAGAAGACAAACATGCTATTAGAAAATGGAGTGAGGGGATATACTGGAGAACGACTAAATTATACTTTTTCTCCCTAAGAAGAAAAACAAACAAGGCAAAATTGAGCCTATTATCGATGATCCAGCCTCCAAAATCTTAAATCAACTGACCAACCAATTCCCTTTTTAAATTAATTTTTTGCCAACACCTTCTCCCTGCCCACTTCTCCCACAGCCGCACCCCCAACACCCCCTATCCCCCCACCCCGCCAACCTGCCAAAGCCTCCATTACACAATGGCAAGAGCCCTGCACTGGTGACCTCCAACCAGCTGCATTCACTTTCAGAACATCTCTCTCTGCTGGAAATCTAAAGGCCTTTTAGTTAGCAAGCTAGTGTGCATTCAGAAGGAGTAACTGCAGGAAGAGCCCAATGTGCTTTGTTTCTCTGGCCTTTCTTCACAGAAAGATTAATCATCTGTGAAATGGAAACGGCAAACAGCAAGTGACACAAACTGAACCCTTCAAGCCTTTCCTCATCAGTTTTGTGGTTCTGAATCTAAAAGCTGCGTGTGGCAAGGTTCTCCTTACAGGCAGGTGTTAATAAAAGGCTCTCGGGTCTGAAAGGTCAAATTTAGCTCTTCCAGAAGAAGTGCATTTGAGAGTCATCTGGGTTTTTGTTGTTGTTGTTATTAAAGATAATTTATGGATATGTTTTAAATATGCATTTCTCAAAATTTATTGTAACACAATTATTAGTAATCAATTTCTTGGATTTTCATTGATGTATTTTACTTTGCCATAGCCAGTTATTCTTCTTTAAATGTCCATTTGTATAAATTATCTCAATATTTAGTGTACCTTCCTTCCAAATCTTGCTGTTACCAACAGGAAAAATAAGGAAAAAGCCTTAAATCCTTAGATCCTGATTTGAAACCCTCCAGGCAAAGGACTTCCCACAGATTTTAACAAGGAAGGGGCAAGCTGAAAACTTTTAATGAAATCTAACATGTTCTGCTTAAGAATAATCACTTTTACTCTTCTATAACTGAATTTCACTCATAAATGTTTAAAAGTGGCTAATGTAACACCATTTCCTACAAGGAGAAGATCAAAGTGCTATATTACAAATGCATTATGATTAAAAAAGCCCTGTGCAGCCTTGCTATTAACTGTTCTTTAAACCCTAAAAGGCTTCCCATAGATCTCACTTGGCACTGCATATACAACCTTTGACAAGTAATGTAGACCATTTTTATTCATTGCCTAAAATTGTAGGCAATTATGTGCGTCACACTGGCCACCTGCAAATTCTGAATGCCTGCTCTAGTTGTCAGTGCAAAAAACTAATGTCGGAGGGGATTAATCTAGGGGGAGAGAGTCCTCTTTAATGGCTCCAGCAGGTGAAATGGCCCAGCTGGTTACTATGATGAGTGGCCAGAACAGCTTATGTAGAGACACGCAACAAGATTATACAAAAGAAAGAAAAAACAGTGGTACCATCTTATATTTGGTTCCATTAGTTTTTTCAATTAAAGAAAGAAAACAGACAAAAGAATGCCAAACAAAAATAGGGGAAGAAATTAAATTTTAATCATATAAAAACTATAAAATACTCTGTAACTATAAACATTTTTACAAAATCTAAGAGCCTCTATAAGTGCTGATCACTAGTGAAGGAATTTCAGTATTTCTCTTTCATTTTAAATTAACTAGACCATTACTGCAGATATAGGAATCTTATCACAAAAGCATTTTGGCATTAGTTTTTTTTTTTTTTTCACATTACAAATTATATTACAAATTAGGAGCACTCAAAACATTTTTTGCAGTCAAGTAAAATAAGTTAAATATAATTCACTTGTAATCAAATTCTTAAACAGCATAGTATTCCTTAAAGCCACATTCAAATATTTTTAGAGAAATTTATACATTACAACCTAGTTTTTGAACAGTTGAAAGAAAAATATTTTGTACTCAGTGCTCTCTTAATTATTCCCACAAAAGATTTAACAGCCAAGAAAAGACAATTTAGATTGACTAAAAGATGTCAGTTTTATTTAAGACAAATCAAAAATAGATTGTTTTTCAAATAAGATTATTTTACATAAATGATCAGTATACGGTATAGTTTCAACGTGCTCTTTTTGTTAAAGCAAAAATTAATTCTAATTTTAGCAAAAAATTAAAAGATGTTATATTCCCTATCTGAAAAACTTCTAAACACATCAAAGAAAACATTTGGGCTTGTCTGCACATAATGCTTAATGGTTGATTGAATTTATTTCCTTATGTTCATATGCACAAATACATATATAAATAACGATGATTAGAACAATAAAAAGTTCCAGTTAACTGAACTTGGCTAACTGGAAAAGAAAATCAAACACACAATGCATTTAGACATTGCCTTAGGTTCCATATTTCTTCACTATCATTATGTAGAAATACAGATGTAAGGGTACTAAAGTGGGCTGTTTTGATAACTGTAACAAATCCCTCATTTTCAAAATAAATTCTGATAACTTTAACAAATTTTTCAAAATAAATTCTGATAAATTTTGATAACTTTAACAAATCCCTCATTTTCAAAATAAATTCTCTATGATTTTCAAAATCAGAGAGATACACAAAAACTCCTGGTCATTTGAACATTTTGGTTAGATTGCAGTTATATGAGTGTACTAATTTGAGAGGTAACAGTACAATGCTTAAGTGTGGGAATAAACCCTAGCCACTTACCAGGTCTGTGAACTATTTCATTGATAAAATGCAGAGAATGAGATCTACCTCCTGTGAGTTGTGACGATTAAAAGAGATAATGCATACAGCGTTTAGCACAGTTCTTGGTACAGAATGACTTCTCAATAAATGTGAGTAGTTGCCATTGTTATGATTGCTGAAAGATTAAATACCAGTGATCTGCAAAATGGCAGTATGTTCTCTTGGGTGCTCCTTTAAAGCATATGTACACTTTTCCATCTGTATAATTGTTCACTAGTCCTTTTCTTTAAATTTCTGAGTTACTAAATATACTGGCTTTTTTTCATGAAATCTCGTCAGGCTTCTTCTAATCTTCACATTCTGCAAGGACTACCTTTTGCTGAACGACTGTCTTTTAACTGCAAAGAAACTTAACCCAAACTCACCTTGAATACCTCACTCTTTTGCTTTGACTCTTCTAACTGATAGTTTCCCATTTCACATTAGAAATGCTCTATTTTCTTGATATATTTTATTATTGTTGTTATTGTTAACAGCAACTGTAACGTATTTACACTCAGAGCATTATGTGTGACTTGTCTAAATTCCCATAGCTAGTAAGTGGCAGAGATGAGATTCAAATTTAGGTCTAAGTAACTTGAAAGTTCATGTTCTGCTCCATACCCTGGCATATTTGTCTTCCTTACTGCTTTTATAACTCTTCCTGTTTAGTCTAGACATCCCCCAAGGTTGTTATTCAAAACCCTCATTCTCAAATTCAATATTCTTATTATTATTTGGGTACAATAGCTGATCATTAATCCATGTATCACAAAAATAGTAATTTATCTTTGTAGACAATTACATAATAATCCAGTCATTTATTAGACATTCCTAGACTACTAGACTTCTCTATCTTAGTATCTTCAGTTCCCATAGCAGGAATTATTAACCTATGATCCACAAACAGATTTCACGGATTCCTTAACACCCTGAAACTGTACATAAAGTTCTGTTTATGTGCCTTTGAGGGAAGATGGCACATATACTTCAACTGCTTTTCAAAGGGATCCATAATCCAAAAGTCCAAGAACAATGGCTGTTAGTGACTCTGATAGCAATACTCACATGCCCCAACAGCCAAGTAAGTAAATGTTCTAGGTCCAGGGACTCCCAGACCAGAGGCTGAGACACTGACCCAAAACTTGCTTTAGCCAGATCCTACACTGAAAATTTATCTATCTTGATCAATACTGTACTGTTAAAAATTCTACCTATTATAATATTTAATGATTTCCAGTTAAAATCATAATAGGGATGTTGGAGAATATTATATATTAAATATATCATTATTCTAAAAGAACTACTTGCTTGAGGGTAAAAAAAATGTTTAGAGTGAAATATGTGGGATTTGTCCTACTATATATTAAAATAAGCCATAAAACTATAGTAATTAGAATAGTATAACACTGGCACAAGAATTCAGATATAGATTAGAAACCATCTAAAAAGCCAGGCACAGTCGCTCATGCTTGTAATTCTAGCATTTTGGGAGGCTGGGACAGGAGGATGGCTTGAGACTAGGAGTTTGAGACCATTCTTGGGCAACACAGTAAGACCCCATCTCTACAAAAAATAAAAAATTAACAGGGTGTGGTGGTGTCTGCCTGTAGTACAAGCTACTCAAGAGGCTGAGGTGGTAGGGACTGCTTGAGCCCAGTATGAGGCTGCAGCAAACTATGATTGCTCCATGCACTCCAGCCTGGGTGACAGAGCAAGACCCCGTTTCCAAACACATGATGATAGAAATAAACTTTTCTTTTCTTTCTTTCTTTCTTTTTTTTAAAAAAAGAAAATCTAGGCCAGGCGTGGTGGCTCACGGTTGTCATCCTAGCACCTTGGGAGGCCAAGGTGGTAGATCACCTGAGGTCAGGAGTTTGAGACCAGCCTAGCCAACATGATGAAACCCTCATCTTTACTTAAAAAAAAAAAATTAG